CTTTCCTGCCCAGGAGCTGCTCTGGCGCCTCAAGGGCAACGTTGCTTACTGGCTTGGGCTGCGGAGACGCGGCGAGCGCCTGGAGTGGGTGGATGGCAGCAGCTTCAACCAAACGTGAGTCCCGTCGCGAGCCGGGGCCGTGGGGCGACCGTCCTGCGGTGGGCCGGGCAGGGGCCTGGTGGGACGTGTGGGCCGGGCCCGTCCCTTGCAGGCAGCACTTGTCTCCTGGTGCGTGAGGGGACAGCTGCTGACCCGACGGTACCAGCGGTGTCGTTCCTTCTTGTTGCAGGTTCCTCGTAGGTGGCCGAGGAGAGTGTGTGTATTTGAACGACCGTGATCTCGCGAGTTCGAGCTGCTCACAGCCCCGGCCGTATCTCTGCAGCAAGCCCCAAGCTCTGATGGGACAGAGCTGATGGAGAAAGGACCTTCCCCTTGCTGCAGCCTCACAGCTTCTGCTCTTCCACCAGCACAGAGGAGCGCTGAGCGAAGGACATCCCTGCGGCCGGTCCGGGTTGTTCCTGGTCTCGGCAGCAACTCGCTGCCAGGTCTCGGGGAGGTGAACCTGCAGGAAGGGGAGACGTCGTGGAAGCTGACGTGCGGCTGCCTGGGCTGGGACCTTGGGTTGCTCCTTCTGGGACCACCCCAGAACTCGGTTCCGAATCTTAAGCTATTGTTATACTTGAAGGATATAAATTTCTATAATAACGTAACTTATACTTTACAAAAGCGTGCCAGACGGCCCTGGGTGTCCCTTCTGTTGCGCAGGCGCCTGCTGCAGGCAGCCCTGTCCGTTCCCCTCCTCGGCCCCGGCTGCGCTTTCCACCCCGGCGTTGGGAGCGTTGGGGTACCCGTGTGTGACGTGACGGCTGCCCCCGGGGTCTTCTGCCTGGCGCCGCGGCCGCGTGGGGTGCCGGAGGCTGGAGGGGGATGGCTGGAGCTCTCTGCCGGAGCCCGTCTCGCGGCGCTGGCTCTGCCCGATGGCCAGGCGGGTTCTGGGGCTCCCCCCGGGCCGTGCGCTGCTGGAAGGCGCCACCCTCCCCGTCAGCCCTTGCTTTCCTGCGTACGGGGGCTCTCGGGGCCCCCCAGCTCCTGACCCCCTCAAGAAGGTGCTGCGGCAGGAGCCCCAGGAGCAGCTGAAAGCAGCCGTGGGCGTTGGGGACGAACCCGCCCAGGATGGTGGGTGAGCAAACCTCGCCGTGTCCCCCGCTGTGCGGGAGGGCCCCTTCCCAGTGCTCCCAGTCCGTCCATCCTCGAGCATCCCAGTTAGGGGCTGAGGTGGCAGCGGGGAGGGGAGAGGAGTGCTGGTGGGGCTGTCCCACCTCATCTTTTTTGGCTTGTTCTTCCTGAGCTGGGGAAACGCTGGTTTTGAGGCTTCGGCCATGGGGAGAGGCTCTGCTCTTGTCCCCTGATGTCCCCTCCCCTCGTCGGCAAAATGCGTTTGGGGCTGGGTTCCCCATTTGAGCAGATAAAGCCCACGCACTCGGATCCTGGAAGGAACCGGGCAGCCTTGCAGCGTGCTGAGCAAAGATGCCTGCGTGTGGCAAAGGAAGAAAGCAAGGGCAGGGCAGGAGCTAATCGGAGAGTGCTTAATTAGGCTGATGAAATAGCTGCTGCTTAGGAGGCAGGAGAAGTTGGGCACCCGTGGGTCACCGAGCTCCACAAAACCAGACAGGTTTATATATTTTCCCTTCTACCATCTTTTTTTGGGGGGGGGGAAAATAGGATGCAGGTACTGGGAGGTCATGGCTGCTGGTTCCCGCCCCCAAAAGTTTGTGGGGGAGAGAGGACATACGGGGCGGCGATGACCGGTGCGATTTAGAAGGGGGAGAAGTGGGGCGATGCTGCCCATCGGGTCCCCAAGAGCTGCTCAAACTGGGGAAACTGAGGCACGGATGGAGGGAGAAGGGTCTGGGGGGGGCTTTTCTCGAGGCTGTGGCTCCTCGGACACCCCGGGCTGGCTGCTGTTCTGCCTCTGCCGAGCTCCAGGACTCAGCTGTGACTCCAAAAGAGGGAGCAGAGGGATTTTGGGGGACACCCAGCTCCTGCTGGTCTCTTACTGGGGTCACCCCTTTGTGCAGGGGGGTCTCACCAAGGTGCTTTGCCCCAGGACACCCTGCTTTGGCCTCTCTGGGGACAGGGGGATGCTCTCGAGCCCCCACCTTTTGTTTTTGTACCCCTTCCCCTGACCGCAGGACCCGGCACGTGAGACCCCCCCCAGGGGGGTTTTGCCCCGCGGCGGACGTGTGTCCTCGCAGGAGCCCCCCGCCGTCCCCGCTGCCTCCTCGGGGCTGAACGGCTCCCGCCCGGGCCGGGGCCGGGGGGGGCTTTGGGGGGGGGGGGG